CATACAAGTCGTACTTTCTCAAAAACAAACTCTTTCTCCAAGAATCCATGGACATCGCGACAGGAAGAAGTGAGGACGCTGTTAAAAATATTGCATTGCCGTCAAGGACAATCATTCTGATAGCTGTGCAACTCAGCCGAAAAATGCTCCTTCGACGTATTCTCAAGTTCCTCAACCATTTGAAATTATCTTCCAGGAAAGCACCAGAAATATGCCGATGGCCTGGGGAAGAAATTGTTCTTGAAGAGACTGACTGCACTGGTGAAAGAAGAAGGCGATGAAGAGTCACCATTGCATCGAAAAAATAGTTTTGTCTTTCGTGTGCATACTTTGTTTCACTTTTGCTTCTTGACTCGAGGCTCAGACTAGAATTGCAGTTTAGGCAGTTTACCCTGGGGAAGCATCCTGGTTTGACTGTAAATTTTAGAAGAATTCATCGGCGTGACTCATCGCACTGCACCAAAAATGACGCAATGAAGGAATTCCGCCGAGCGGGCTTCCATACAGGGACTGATCAGGAGTTGCACACTCTTGGGGGTTATGAACTCTTGGCGGTAGCAAGAGTATATAACCCCCAGTAGTGTGCAACTCCAGCTATGGGGTCTGCGACGGCAGAATTTTACATCACGTGACGAACGTGTACACATTATTTGCACCGTGTGTATGGTAGTTACAGGGCTGTACGCAACCTTGCCTTTGGGTTCAACTCTCTTGTGGTCACTTTGCATTGTTTGCCAGCGTAGCCTTTTGAACCATGCCACGTGATGTGAAGTGTTGCCGTCGCAGCACTGCATAGGCAGTTGCACACTGTTGGGGTTATGTACTCTTGGCGGTAGTGATTGAAGTTGGTTGCTCCTACGGGTGCATGTATGTGGGACTCCAGCACAGGAGGAGCTTGTCCGAACCTACCACTCGGCAAACCTGATAAATACCCAAATACCCAATGTTTTTTTTATTTTGGAGAATTCACCCCTCACCTGTTGAGCTTGAGTAGGCTAATTAAATTTGTGCTCTATGAGCACTACATTTTATAGCGCTCAAGCAGCCCAAACATCACTAGGGATACAAACTTCCAGCGACGCTCCGATTCCGGTGCAACAAACGCATTGTGCATAGCCAATGGCTCTCGGCATCTGTTTCTCATTACTCCACACGTGGCATTGACTCCTGTTGCTGTTTGGGGCCGGGCATGAAGCATGATGTCCATTTAATATGACAAAGAAACCCACTCCTCGTATTCTCCACGGTCCACCTCACAGCTTCACAGTAGAGGCTGGCATTACCATTACTTCGTTATGTTTCTGACTTTCTGTTCCCTGTTCATGCTCCCATTGCTAGATGCTGAACTTTGTGTCAAGTAAATTGTCAGCCAGTCGTCATGGCGATGAGTATCATCTGACGTACGATCAGCTATCTCACATGATCAACCCACTGGAACTGTCGCTAGGTAATGACTTGATATGCTACAAGTACCGCAGGGCATGCGTGTGTGTGTGTGTGCACGTGCGTGCGCGTGCCTGCCTGCATGTTCTACTGGTACTGGTATTGGTGTAGCGTTATGTATGGCAATGGGCCTGGCTGCTTTTCACCACTTGATGACTTGATGAGAGGACCATACGTATTGCCCAGGTTCACAAAGTGACTGTGTTAACAGTAGCCAGCGCCAGCCCATGGTCACGTTCTATACTACATCATTACATGTACAGCAAAACATGGCCTATCCGGATGCCCTTGCTACAGCGGAAACTGTCCTGATAGGGCAGGATTCCGCTTGATCCAGGGATTCACGCTTGATCCACAGCACTTTGGTACAGGGTCCGGCAAACACAGGTTTTACTGTCCTTCCAAGTGTGTAGTCTTGAATGGTGTGTGCGCCTCGTCATTGGCTTCCTGGGCCCATCAAGTAATTAAAAAGACTTTGTCCAGACAATGACATACATGTAGAAGTATAATTATGCAGTTGTTTTCTGTTCCTTGACCCAGCTAGGCAGGCTGTATACTCTTGCTTCTACTGATGGCGCACTCAGTATCGTTGTGTGTGATGTGATGTTCCCCATCTGTCATGAAATCGATCTGAATGCTCACGCTCATCTGTGTGTGTGTGTGTGTGTGTGTGTGTGTGTGTGTGTGTGTGTGTGTGTGTGTGTGTGTGTGTGTGTTTCGGTGTAGGTAGCCACTCATCGAACCTTTCAACTCTTCATTTCATTGTGTACATCCCAAGCAAGGACGAGTCACCACTCCGTGTTCTCAATCAAGAAGGTATATTCATACTACTGTCATCTTTTTGGTTATTTGTGTATGTGTGCGTGTTCGTATGTGTGTGTCGGCATCTGTCCATGCTTTGGTTGATTGAGTTATGAAATGTGAAGAGTTTCGTATTGAGAGTTAAGTTGAGTTGTATGTTCCTTGCCATCCCTGCAAATAGGTATGGTTTGAAGAGAAGTTGGTTGCACACCGTGTAGAGCGTAGTTTCCAAAGCTTGAATTTGACTCCCTGTTCTCACTTTTTTCAAACAATGTGTATTGTGTGTTTGTAGGAGTCGCTACTGAAAACAACTCTTTTCTTGTGGATCGCTGGGGAGGTCTTCTCGTGCATAATGTTGATGCACTTGACAACAACACTGATGCTTACAAGTTCCATGAGATATCCGACGATGCCATGTCAGCAATCATGGCGGTGTTTGCAGCGCAGCTGAAGCGCTTGGTTGGAGTGAGGCAACCTGTAAGTGTTGCTGTGGATCGGCACTACTGATATCGCTGGCCCAAATCCATGCTAGTGTCAAGTATTCCTCTCTCTCACTCTCTCTCTCTCTCACTCTCTCACTCCCTCTCTCTCTCTCTCTCTCTCTCTCTCTCTCTCTCTCTCTCTCTCTCTCTCTCTCTCTCTCTCTCTCTCTCTCTCTCTCTCTCTCTCTCTCTCTCTCTCTCACACACACACACACACACACACACACACACACACACACTCCCCTCCCTCCCTCCCCCCCCCCCCCCCACCGTGGTATTCTTGGTGTGAACTTAAGAGACCCCGTGATCAAGAAGTTCAAGAACCAACAGGCTCCTGGCCGAAGCGAACAGTTGTGTTACTTGTGTTATCGTAATGTTGACCCATTCTTGCCGCCCGTCAACTTACCTCTATCCCATACCATTTGTTGTGCATATCTACAGTCCATTTCAAAACTATAGACGCGTAGGGTTTTTGAAATATTTCAAATTTGGCTGGAACTTTTTGAGAATAGTTTTTGGAATATTGCTCAGGTCCGCTCCACAATTACTCTCATATAGTTTCTAAACGATTGGATAACAGACGCCCGATTTGGAAAAAATTATGCACAAAGTGATCACAGATTTTATGTGGTATAGATGCTGGCATAACGGTTTTTGCCTAGGTACGCGTCTATAGTTTTGAAATGGACTAGTCATAAATGCAGTGCTGTTCTACTGTCATGCTTGATGTTCTTTCTCTGTAGGACGTTTCCTTTGGTAAAGTGTCACTCCTTTCGTCGAGCAATTCTATCTCCTACCGGGTTAGTCCTTTCTTACCAAAACTCTCCCTCCCCTGTGAGGCTCATGCTGCGTTTTGTTAATCAATGGCATTCAAGAAGACATGTCACATTTACCTACGTGCCAATCAGCAAGGGCATTGTAGCGTAATATCAAATGTGAGAGTGTGTCCATGCCTGCTCACATGCTCTGTATGCCACGTTCTACAATAATTTCTAGAATGATTTCCAGAATGTTTTAGTTGGTCGTGCACTGCCGTATTGACTATGTCTTCTCCTCTCTACACACACACACGCACGCACGCACGCACGCACGCACGCACGCACGCACGCACGCACACACACACACACACACACACACACACAAACACACACACACACACAACTCACATTTGCTCGCACACAGGAATGGAACAGTGTACTACTGAGCCGCACCGTGGAGAATGTGGCCCGTGCACGCGCAACCCTGCAGGCACTTGTGAAGCTGCTTGACGACGTCTCCAACATGGTCATCTCTGATCACATCCAAGCTGAGGTACGCTGCACTGGTCAACAGTACTCGGGTGTTGATCTTTTAATAATTGTTAACTTTCTGAAGTGCTATGTTCACAACTGGCTCCTATGTTCTAAAACTGCCACAAGTTTTGACATTTCCCTGCCGGTTTCATGCCTTATCACTAAGTAAAAAAAAACGGATAAGGGGCCATCCGGCATTATCGATAATTTTTTCATGGAACGAAAAAGTTTAGTTATGAGTCTTATGACCCGCCCCCACCCACTCACCCTCTGGAACGAAAAATGTATCGACTTGACAGCTAGAATGGATTGATGTTTCAGCTATCATTTTTTTTAAAACGGTACTCTCCTCACCCCACCCACCCATAGACGAAACTTTTTTCTCTTTGTGAAAAAGATCGATAATTACGGACGGCCCCTAAGTCAGTTCTGAAGTGTCACTGAAGAAATGCTCTCTCGGTTTTTTTCTTCTCTCCATTTCAGGTGGTCTACGCTGTACAACTCATAGACAAAGTAAGAGGTCTTGTACATGTATATCTGAAGGGCTGTATGGTACTTAGTACTACTTACGGTACTTAGTACTACTTACGGTACTTAGTACTACTTACGGTACATACAGTGAAGCTACATCTACCAGCGTGTCAGCTGTTTTTTTGCAGCTGGAGAAATAATAGGGTTTTCACTTTTGTTGAGTGTCACTGGGATTCCAACGTAAAATTGATTGAGAAAAGTTGAAGCGAAAGGTTAGAATTTAAAAGGGAAGTTCACAACTTTTAGTGAAACATCAAAATGTACAGATTCCAACGGTGAAAACCTCCGCTTGTTCGAAGCAGCTGTTCTGGACTTAACGACATCTGGAAGTTTTGGCTAAGTAAGTTCTGTGCCATCGTGAAGACGTCCTAGCGTTAATTTGCCCCAATCTGTGACGTGGCTAGCAAAGATAAACTTTGATATGGGAATATAGATATGTACATGTAGAGGAAATGGCATGTTGTCCAGTTCTCTACTGTCGCAAGTTAGTCCAGGGAACACGATAAGATTTTACATTGCTCTGACACAATGTCCTGACACTTTCGGAAACGGTCGGACACTGATTTTTGCAGATTTTCTCCCTTTCATACGTCACTTTCTTACCTGACATGCGGCACGCATGGGGTACGGTTTGAGGAGGACAAGACATTGTGAATGGTGGTCGCCACAGTCACAGATAGTAGCAGTGCTGGTGAGGCTACAGGCACTCCACTGACCAATAGGTCTCAGTATCGCCATGCCGGTAACGCACCAAAAGACAAAAACGGAAGAAATCAAAAGCACAATACATGAATAGTAATTACAATAAAGGTAATAGGGAGAGTGGTGACCAAGAGAGGACAGTATTGACCGTTAGTATGGTGTACTTCAACGCACATCCCCAAACCGAGAGGTGGGATCATCAGGAAAGAACAGTGTGACGATCAACATGATGGGCTTCAAAGCATGTCCCAAGACCATGGCTGCTCTGATATGTGTTTGTTGACGCCTTTTTTTAAAAGCTGTTAGTGGGGAGTGATTGGCCGGACGAGGAAAGACGTCCTCGGGGAGAGTGTTCCACAATTCAAGGAAACAGTACGAGAAGGAACGTCGAAGGTAATCGGGACTGGTGCCGGGGGAGGTGTTTAAGAGCTGTTCCCGGTGCTGGCGCTGAGCATAATGCTGTTGGCGGGTTCGAACAGTATCGGCCCGTGGTTTTGGGGGGGGGGAGGGCGCATGCGTGTCAGACGGGGTGGGCCCTTGCAGTTACCGTAAAGTCGCGGATAAAAGCCGGGTTTGCATACAAGCACATCGCGGATAGAAGCCTGAACATCAAATAGGTCAAATGCATATAAGCCTGTCGCGTGTAGAAGCCTGGCTTCTATGCAAGCGCGGAGCGGGTAGGTCAAGAGTGCATGCGCTATGTACAGTGCATAGTAAAACTACCGCCATACCGGTAGTCAGTGGTAGATCTACGCGTAGAAGCCTGGCTTCTATGCAAGCCCCGATGTGCATACAAGCCTGGCAAAAATATCAGTGGTGCATATAAGCATGGTTTGCATACAAGCCTGGTTTGCATTAAAGGGGAAGTGCATCGATTTTTCGAGTAGGGTCCAGAAGAAAGACAATTTGATATCGGTTCGAATGGCATATTTCTCGCTTCCATACGATAAGCCAAACTTGCCAAATCGCCAATTGTATGCTCACGTTGCCATAGCGACCAGCGGAGTGATGACGTACGAAAGGCTTAGCTCCTCCACAGGAGAAGGTCGATCACTGCAGAAATTGGTCATTTTCAATTATCTTATTGTATTCACGATGTGAAAGAAGTGCTGTGTTCAATGCTGTTAGTGCCGTGAACTATTTGTCGCCCTTCTCATGCATTTCCCTAGGCTGACTGTGCCTAGGAAATGGTTTCCTCCAGGACAAGATGCTTGGAATTCGCCGTCTCTCCTGAGACATTTTCAGCAAACTTTCAAACCTACGACATTATTTCATTCGTCAATCTCCACCACCCGTCGTCTCACCTGGCTTCAGAAGATGTTACGAGAGATAGGAGAGTCGCCAGGAAGCATCACATTCACCTTCAGGAAGTGGAAAGAGCAAACGGCATGGTCCTTGGTTGGGGAAAATGCTGAACGTCTGATTTGTCCCAACCAAGATTTCAGCATTTTGTTTGTCACTATTTTCGCTTGTCTGCTGGTGTCTCCGCGCTCCAGCTTTCTCCTGTCGGTGTCACGTCCCAGTACACAACCGAGAGGACTACTAACAAACAGTTCACTGCACTTACAGCATTGAACACAGCCCTTCTTTCACTTCGTGAATACAATAAACCAATTGAAAATGACCAAATTCTGCAGTGATCGACCTTCTCTGTGGTGGAGCTAAGCCTTTCGTACGTCATCACTGCGCTGGTCGCTATGGCAACGTGAGTATACAATTGGCGATTTGGCAAGTTTGGCTTATCGTATGGAAGCGAGCGATATGCCATTCGAACCGATATCAAATTGTCTTTCTTCTGGACCATACTCGAAAAATCGATGCACTTCCCCTTTAACCCTTTACCATCCGTGCGTACTTGAATCGATCTCTAGAGATCGATGGACATGCATACACTAAAACATTCGTAACTCGATCGATTCTTGGCGGAATTTAAAGAACTAAGTATCTAGGAAGAAGCCGAAGAACCCAGCTTTCCATTGCATCAATCGGTAAAGAGCTGCGATGTCGCATTCCAAAGATATTTTGCTCGACATTTCAGCTACGGCAAAAGTCGAATTTCTTTCCGAGTGACTGATCTTCAGCGGGGATTTTCCCCTCTCCTGACATGCTGAGTCACTTTGGCATGCTTCGAGCGCGTGGGCAGCATGAAAAGAAACTCAAGCAAAACATTTGGAATGTTTACGATGAAGGAGCGAGAAATGGCTGACGAGGAGAGACTTTCCTCGTATATACAGCGATGGGGTGTATTTGAAGCTCCCTGGCGCTGGATATGTGATCTCGGTAGTGCCCCGTTTGAGCTCAATGTACGCAGCTCGTGGAGAGCTTTCCAGAATGCCCAAGATTGTGAAAATTGGTTGATTAGAACCGAAGATATTCTCAGAATAAGGTGAGAATTATTGCATTTGGGAATGCTGGGGAAATTTGGTCGGATGGTAAAGGGTTAAAGCCTGATGCAGAAAGCGGCTTATATGCTTATAAGCCCGGCTTTTATCCGCGACTTTACGGTAACTACCTTGTAAAGATAGGACAGTCCTGCGACTGTCCGTCTGGCCCGCAGACTCTGGAGGACAGTGGTGGGCCCAATCATCTGCATGACCTTGCACTGTGCTGTGTCCAACTTCCCAAGGTGGGTCTGGGCAGCACCAAGCCAGGCTAGTGGGGCATACTCAAGTATCGGCCTTACAAAGCCCTTATAGACGGTTAGGCGTCCGGCAGCGTCCAGGATGGGGGCTGCCTTCTGCATGAAATGGAGGCTTTGATGTGCGCGCACGGAAAGCTGGTGAAGGTGGGTGCTGAAGTTGAGCTTCTCGTCGAACACCACCCCAAGGAGCTTCAACTGGCTGCTGACAGGAACAGGGGTGCCAAGGAATTGGACAGGGGGGGGGGGGGGGGGGGGGGGAATCTGGAGGGGCCAGCTTCCTGGTCACTGACATCAGCTGTGATTTAGAGGGCTCAAAGGCAACCCTCCAAGTGCTTCCCCAGGCTTCCAGCTGGTTGAAGTACTAACTATTCACTGCCAATAGAACACGGCTGAAGGAAGAAAGAAACAACGTCAAGAAGAGTGAAAATCAAGTTTATAAATAAGAGTAATAACAGTTCAAAAAGCCAACAGCTAATAACTGAAAGAAGCAGCGGAACTAGGTATGCTCTAGGCTTGCTGTGTGAAGGTGTCCCAGTCTTCCAAATCCAACTGGTACTGGTCGGGGTCATCCGATGGCTCAGGCTGGGTGAGCTGACGCTGCAGGAGCTCTGTTGTCGCGGACCGTTCTTCTACATATGTCGCTCCACCACAGGGAAACAGCTTCACCGGATTGCCAGTCTGCAGCAGGTGGCCCTTCAATGGCGATGCGCATTAGCGTCCAAGCAGTCCTCCGATAGGCGGCACCGACGATCCGACTTGACGTGCTTCACCGTCGAGAAGATCCGCTTTACCTTGCCATTTGACATTGGCAGGCTGAGTAGCATCTCGACCAGACCCAGCATGTTCTGCCAGTGACAAGCTTCGGCGACATTAAATAGCTTCCACCAAACTTGACGGTGACCATCTGTCAGGCAGAAGTATCGTTGAGCGTAAACTACCATCTCATCCCATTCATCTGCGATCAGGGTCACATCTGATCCAGCTATGGGTGGTAGCCGCCACTGCAGGCAATATCATCATTGTGATCTTCAAGTGGCTCACCCAGGGACTGTACATTACTCTCCAGCTCCCGGCGTTTTGTGTAGATTTTTCATAGAGGTAGTGCACGCGCAAGAGCAGCTCATCCACTGTGTCGAAGAGTGTTCCTTTCAGAGCATCTTTGAGAGCAAGCTCTAGTCGATGAGCTACGCACCAAACTGGTGCAATCCACGGAACCACGTCAGCCAGCTTCCCTCGCAAACCATTTCTTCCCATGTCTACAGCAGCGCCGCCACAGCCTATTCCGATCAGTTTCGATTTTCAATCAAGGCCAACTTTCTCCATAGCTCGCTCGAAACAAGCCATGAATCTGTTCGCATCAACAGAACGAGGTTGCAGAACACCAGCATACTGACTGCGTACGTGAATCTGGCCAGCGCTGCTGTGCGTTTCACGAAACAGGGCCACGAACAACTCCTCTTCAACGTTCGCTGCGTCACTTGTTCCGTCCGTTTGAACGCTGAAGAACTTGCATTTCTGAACGTTCGACTTGAGCTGATTTTCAGCGATAGACCGATGTAGCCCGCGAAAGCGGCACACGCTTGTTCGTTCTTTTTAAAATCGTATCAGATTTTCTCACACGTATGCCACCTTTTAATATTGGTATTCTAGACCAAAATAGATCCGGCCACATATGTTAAACTAAGAAAGAAATCGGCTACTCCCGGATGTGCTCGTACGTGTGATAAGTGACCGGATAAGTGACTTGAGCTGCTTTTCTAATACTTGTAATGTTTTTTAACGTATGGATATTGTACTTTACAAGTACTTGCTTTGTACATTGTTGTGTGTCGGGGTATGCGTTACTGCAGAGCTTGATTCGACTAGCCGAGGGCTCGCTTCTTGATGCCTATAGTCTGTCTCGTAGTGCCTTGGTAGCATCAGGTGAGTCGACTTAGTTGTCTCATTTTGTTCCATGATGTGTTGCAGTGGAGATGTTGTGATTGGTATCAAGTTGCTATGCTGCTTTTGAAAAAAAGTGTACTTCGAAGTTTGAAGTACACTTTTTTAATACAATGTGTGAAGTTCGAACACTTCGCACGATGATACATTGTATAGCTGATTGATAAGACTGAGTGCTTTGTTGTGCTTTGTTCTAGGTGAGTGTTGTTACTATAATCAGTTCATTGGTCTAGTTTCTGTGGCTTTTTGTCGGTCTTATTGATTTATGTTCTGTCAATGTGTGTTTGAATGATGTTGTTAAGAGAATGCTTTCTTTGACCCGTCCATGCTGGCGTTACTCTACTTCCCTGAGGAGTCCAAGTGAGTTTTAGCTACTAGTACTTTAGATTATCACAAGTTGTGTAAGGCTGCATGGAGTTGATGTGTTTGGGGATTTATGAGTACCAGTTTCAGAATGGGGTTTGGACAGTCAGGCTATGAAACACTTTTTTGTAAATGCAGTACTCACAAGTATAGTATATTATCGTATTACTCAATCTTTGGACAGCTAGCTGCTTCGACCGTGTTAGGTCTCATCAGCGGAGCTCAGAATGACTGGCTGTATTACAGAACCATGTACTCTTGTCTGTTGTTGTCGTGTGCAGGTATGCTATCTACGTGCCACTGTTCATTCCCATGGCAGTGCCGGTACTCGCATCTCTAGTTCAGTCTATCAAGCTCTTCAAGACGGTGCAGCAATTGAAATCAGCTCTGCACCCGGCAGCCGCTTCACCGGCTGAATCAGTATCCGAGTCCCTACAAAGCCACCTGAAAGCAGAGTGATCAGCTACCAATCCGAGTTGTTGAAGAAGAAGCTGACGGTTCACCGAAGTACCAACTTCCCAGTACATGTACACTTCTAGTGTCAATTCACAATGCTATTGGAGTGTCGGCCTTAGCACTACTACTTGTACTAACTTGGCCGCCATGTACCAAGTAGGGAGCATGGACTCATACTGGGTAGTCCGTTGTGCACCCTTTTTTTACTTCCAACTGCCTATTTCCAGTGCACACTGTGCTGTTGCTCTGGGTTTTGACTGCTGCTTGCAGTGCTGCTTGCAGTATTGCTGCAATTTGCTGGATCATTGCCGGTGTATTGTCCGTCGTTCTTGTTTTAAAGACAAGATCATTGAGATTTTGAGACGGCGTTGATCAAACCGGTGCACTGCACAGTCATGCTTTACTGCAGTATACGAGCACTAGCGTTTTCATTGCCACTACACTGCCATGCCAGTGTACACAGACATCCATAGGCATAGGATGAGGTGACTGACTACATGTGCATGTACATGTATACTAATGAAGGCTTTAGTGCAGAGAATAGGGCATCCTTGGAAGCGGGTGGCTCTTGCATTTTATAACTTTCCTTTTCTCAAGAAAATGCATTAGGCATGTCAGCATCTTCTTTTCTTTTTGCTCCACCGCTTTCATAATGGATTTACCCTGACATGTACATACATGTATTCGTCATAGCAGCTATGCCCGCGTGATGAGAAGGATTTTTGAAGGCACACTTATGTTCTCTGAAATTTGTTTTATAGAGTCCATCAACCACGTACTGACCCGTGAAAGAACATTACGTGTAAACGGACACGACTGTGTCGATGGTGTTCTGTGTTTGTTGCCGGAGAAGCATTGGTGCAGTGCCGCGTACAGCCGTACACACACACTGGCAACAGAATGAGCCATTCTGCACCCCCCATCCATGATCACAGTTTGTGAACGGCTCTGCTGCTGTGAATCGTGACATGTAATATGAGCAAGAGAGTGCAATCTCCCAGTCCCAGGGTGGTTGCGCTGTGCTGTATGCTACATGTAGTATCCAATGACTTATGGCTCCCTCCTCCCCCGCTGCCCTATTTTCTCCCATCTCGACTGTGGTTTACTTTGTATTGCATGAGTAATTAGTACCTGTAGCCGGAGTGGATACACGTGCAGAGGCAATAACCATACTACAAAAGTACAATGTAGCTGCAGCACGCCATCGTGACCGAACAACCACAACAAGATAAGATACAGAAGATAATTATCTTGCTTGAACTGTCATGGTTCAGGGTCTAGGCAGTCGTGCATGTAGGGATTTCCCCACTCGAAGTAGTCAAATACCGACTCCTAGATCCTGGGCATCGTACAGTACGGGTGCACGAAACAGGAAATTTTGAATTCCGTACATCTGTTCACCAGTTTTCACAGAACGTGGAAAATGTTTTGAGAGAACAAACGTGCGTTGTTCGCACTCCCAATCGTATTGACTGGGCGGGGAGCAGCCGCCTCCCCAAACGAAACCTTCCCTACCAGTAGGCTCTACTTTTCGTAATCGGTACGGAAAATGCTTCAGCAAAGCATCATTGTTTTTCTAGGAGTTCTGCTCGTTCTATACCTTCCTCGTCATTTAACAGCAGCAATAATGGCCTTCTTGTTCGGGCTTGCTATTGATGTGGAAGCGTTCACATGGTCAAGACTATTGGAAAGAGAAATAGTGCCAGGTGTTGTCGCTTGTCTTCTTGCCCTGGGAACTTGGCTCACTTTGAGTGCGGTGAGTATGTCATATTTAAAATTAAATTTGATAAACACCAACAATTATTGATTATTCCCCTCTTTTATTTTAACCCAGCAAAATTCTCAGGCACGCTTTCTTAGTAAGTTTCTAGACATCTACATGCACATGACATCATTGTAGAGATATCAAATCAAGTATCGACGATACCAAGAGTCCATACCCAAGAGTGTGCAACGCGCGATAGGGTCTTGTCACGACTCGTTTTCAACATTACGTCATTTTCATGTACATTTTCATGTAGCGAATGTCGCGGCCTGCTCGCGCTGCTACATGAAAATGACGTAATGTTGAAAACGAGTCGTGACAGACATTTATGTGGCATTGCACACTCTGGGGGTTATGGACTCTTGACGATACTGTAAAAGCAATTATTATAAATTATTATAATGAAGTACTAACTCTTATCAACCACCACACCACACCGCTGCGAAGTGCTAACTCTAACGAATTAACGAGGAGAAATCTGTCGTTAAAATAGAAATCGTTATACAGAAATCGATACATATACTGTCCTATTGAGCGTTGAGAATGAGTGAGAATCGTTACCTTTCGTACACGTAAACTAGTCAATTTTGGGAAATCGTTATACATGCGCCTCGTTAGAATAATGGCTTTTACAGTAGCGTGCACAACGACGAAGACATTGCTGCGATGACATGCCCGCCAGAACCGGTCCGGTTGGTCAGGTTATCACCGGACCAACTTTCTGGCCACCAGCACAAAGCCATGTTTACTACAGTACTGTGGAGGGCATGTGTACCCGGCATATCATACATAACGACAGCGGGCATGTGTACCCGGCATACCATACATAACGACAACATATGAAAGGCCATGACATTGCCGGGCCAATCGAAAACTGCTACCGGCGGTCCTGGATGAGGATGCTCGATTACTAGTACTCCATTAGTTTGAGGAGTTCTAGACAAATGACTCTGGACTTGAGTGTATGGGTCACCATGGCACCGTTGAACCGTAAAGTACCGCGAGAGCGCCCCACCACCTCATCCGTTCGTGGTCGTGGTGTCCTGTCTGTCGGTCATACGGTGCGGACCTTTTACTGTTTTACACACATTGCTCGTTGTGCAGTCAATCGTTCTCGGTTTACCTTCGAGTGGACGTGAGCTCCACACAAGAACATGCTAAGTGTGACACTGATGTTTTCACACCGTACACACTTTGCTGCACTTTGCCGTACGATTTTCCTTTCCCGGGCTGTAAAATCAAGGTGGCGCATTTGCAACCTGATGGACATGGAATTTGCTAAAATAATATTACATATAATACTGTTGGACTCTAATGGGTGTTGACTGTGTAGCACAATGGGAAATCGAGAGGTTTCACTGCACTCTGTAGTTTAGACTGTCTGCTGGTTATGGTTTATGTGATTGACTGATTGTGTGATGGCTGTCTTGGTTTTGATAGGTGAGACGGAAATGGAAGCTGGACAGCCGCGTGAAGAGCTGCGCTGTTCTTCTAGGAGATGACAAAGTCGCTGTTCTCGAACAGGTACAGTATGCGGACCGGTGTGTACACACATGTGCACGTGTGTTTGTGGTGTGTATGAACTATGTCTGTACTGGTGGTGATGGAGTCCTGAGAATTAAAACCTGGCTTATTTCGAGCACACCGCTTACTTAGAAGTCAAGTCCTACAAAATCCGCTTATATAGGAAATGTGTGGGATCCCTGCTAATGATTTGAAGTTTAGCAAGGCATACTGCCTCTGTGTTTAGCAAGGCATAATTCAAACTTCACTGTGCACTGTACTGTTCAGTTCAGTGTGCAGGAGCAGGCTATACTGGCCGGTTCTGTGCCTGTGATATCTGTGTCTAAGGAGCATAGCGGTGGTGCATAGCGATGGTGCATAGCTCAACTCTGCATGACACTGCGAGCATTTTGACATACATGACGCAGGTTTCTACTTGAAGTGCACTGTGCTTGAACCTGCTTCTCACTATATCAGTGGATTCGTGTGCTTTCCCTTACTGTCAGTGTGTTCTTGGTGTTGTGTGCTGTGCAGAAGCTGCCAGTGTCTTGCTCTGACTCCTGGAGTATGGCTGGTGTATCGAATGGGCTGACTGTATGGTCTAGCCAGGATGATATGCTGCTAGTGGATGGAGAGATCTATGCTATGGCCACTTGTGTCCATTCACCAGCCAAGGTAATCATGGTGTTATTGCTGTTGCTGCTGCTGCTGCTTCCGCCACTTTCTATTCTGTTGCTGCTGAAGCCGCAGCTGCTTTTCGGCTGTTTCTGCTGCTACTTTACTGCTGCTGCTGTTGATGCTGCTGTTGATGATTCTGCTTTTGCTGACTCTGTTTTTTTGCACTGGGTAGAGTCAGGACTTAGATGACCAAACAATAATACTGAATGTGCAGGTAGAGCACAACGAAGCATATACTTGCATAGAATGACTGGCTGTTGACCATAGCGATTAGATTCTGCTGCTGCTGTTGCTGCTATTATCACCAGTGCCGTTTTCATTCATTGTGATGTTTATTTTTGTGATCAGGCCATCTTGTCATACCTACGTCGTACCGATATTGAGGTAGTGGATGGGAATGGCATATTTAAGTGTCACCTTGTCGATGAGAGTGATGACCTTGGTGAATCCGGCTGTGACCGCGTCACTTGTGACCTGTGCCAGCGAGGCTGGTTTGCTCAAGCCTTGGGATATGTTGCTAAGACTCGCCAGTTTGTCCTTGACAGGTTAGTGTTGACACGAGTTCCAGCTCCGACGAACCCCGACACATACCTGCTGGCTTGCTAGTGTTATTTGTTTGAACTTTCTCTGAGCTTTCTATGTGTGTGTATTTGCTATTTTAAACGAAGATTAGGCACACCCTTGATAGACTTCTGCGGCTGCCCCTGGGATACCCCTTCAACCTTCAATAATAGTGCAAAGTAGTAGGATGGAAGAGTATCCAATGCAGTGAGCATAAGCTAGCATGTCAAGAGCACTACACACATACATGTGTTAGTTGTCTGATGATTGCCGAAGGGCATGGAACTTTAAGTTATAACGAATGATGCGTGGTGCTCTGTGTCGTGTGTAAGATAGCTCTATTCGAATGAATATTGAGCACTCTACCGAGCCAGAGGACTGTCATTTGTAGTTCACTCTCACTTAGTTGTCTGATAATTGCCGAAGGGCATGGCACTTCAAGTTACTACGAATGATTTGTGGTGCTCTGTGCGGTGTGTAAGATAGCGCTATTCGAATGAGTATTGAGCACTCTACCTAGCCGGAGGACTCTCATTTGTACCCAGACACATAATTATATGCCCAGGAGCAAGCTCTAGGTCCATACGACTGGAGTGACCTTGTCTTTCATGTTGACATCAACCAGAGGTGATAGGCTGGAATTTGGTGCAGCAGCTGAAGATGGAAGCTTCAAGCAAGCTTATGCTTTTTGAAATGTTCTTCTTTTTAGGCATTGGTATGACGGAGATGATGCTAATTCTACTCCCTCTGGGCCTTTATGGCTGATGTGTCAAGTCGATCATCAAGTCCCTACAACCAGCTTCATTTGGAAGACATTCTTCTTACAGCCTCTTTCTCGAGGTAACGTTTATAGAATTGGGGAGGGCCTTGTCCCTGTCTCACATAGCTGCATCGTTAGTAGTTCCATTTTATCTTCTTACTAGCGTGATGTCCTTCACCTTGCAGCATTACTGCTTGCGAATGATGGGATTGTGGCTGCGGCTGCTGCTGTGTTAGAGCATGTAAAAACTGATAGTGCAGTATGTCTTTAGGGAACAGCTGTGTGCTTTGCTATCTGGTTACTTTATGCAATGCACACCATTTTTTCTTGTCCCTTCTCCATGCAGATGTAACATTGCTCACACTCGTCGTTGCACCATCCAGCAATAAGCCTGATCCAGGCCAGGTAGATGGCTGGTCGGCGGAGATTTGTAGGTTGCGCGACCACTCTGCAACCTCGTTTTCCGTGCGTAGTAGTTCTGGCCAGGGGAGCCCCACTAGTGAAGAAGTGCACTCAGGACAGCAACATAGCGTTCAGCAGAGTGGTGGTGGTGGTGGTGGTGTCGGTGACATGCCGGTTCAGACTGCAGCATCTGAAGATGACCAGAAGCACACCCACGATAAGCTACCTGTTCAAGCTGCACACGGATCTGCTAAGCAAAGTGAAGATGATGCTGCTGCTGGTTCCGCTGCTACCAACCAGAATGGTGCTAGTGATGATGATAGTAGTGATGATGATGCTAGTGAGCAGGACAACAAAGCAAAGTCTGCTGCGGATATTCTACGAGATTGCACAAATGAACAGCGCGGGTAAGTAAATGCACATACTGATACATGCACAAATGGCAGGTGAAAATATGGTGGGCTTGAATTTTTTTTGAACGCTTACGTGTGTGTTATTGTCTTCTTTATGTATCCTTGTAGGCTGCTGTATGTATGTTCATACAATTAGTGTGTGTGTGTGTGTGTGTGTGTGTGTGTGTGTGTGTGTGTGTGTGTGTGTGTGTGTATGTGTGTGTGTATGGACATGTGCGTGTGTGTGTGTGTATGGACATGTGTATTTTGTTTGTTCTTCAACAGCCATTTAGCTGTATTGGAATCGGCATACGACAGCCTGTGGCAGTGCTCTCAGGCTAAGCCTGGCCAAGATGGCTGGCAGAAAGTCACTCTATCCAAGTAAGTCACAGTAACCATGTAGCCAAGTAAGTCACTGTAGCCAAGTAAGTCACTATAGCCAAGTAAGTCACTGTAACCAAGTAAGTCACTGTAACCAATTAAGTCACTATAACCAAGTAAGTCACTATAACCAAGTAAGTCACTGTAACCAAGTAAGTCACTGTAACCAAGTAAGTCACTGTAACCAAGTAAGTCACTGTAGCCAAGTAAGTCACTGTAGCCAAGTAAGTCACTGTAGCCAAGTAAGTCACTGTAGCCAAGTAAGTCACTGTAGCCAAGTAAGTCACTGTAGCCAAGTAAGTCACTGTAGCCAAGTAAGTCACTGTAGCCAAGTAAGTCACTGTAGCCAAGTAAGTCACTGTAGCCAAGTAAGTCACTGTAGCCAAGTAAGTCACTGTAGCCAAGTAAGTCACAGTGTCCATGATAAGTGCGTGTATTGTATGCTGGCCTTGCTGGCTGTCTTTCAAGTCATTGAGTCGCTGGTCAGGACATTTGCCGAGCTGCTAGTCACACAGAGGACTAGTCGGAGATAGTTGTAGTGGTCGGTTTCTCATACTGCACCTGTTTCTGCATTACTTCATCAATGACGGTGTTGAGGTGTGGTCTATAGGAGCCGTTGCTCAGCAGCAATATGCCACACCTGCATGGCGCATAGGTGGAATGTGCTAGACTGAAATCTCTGCCCACGTACGCAGAAGGCGCAATCTGACTGTTCTCGGTGAACAGAAGTGATGTCCTTCGCAGTACACGCTACTGGTGGTGTCTGAATATTCCCTTCGTTTCCTGTCTTCATTTGTTGTTCTTATAGAGGGGTAACTGTCATGAAGAAAGTCTCAGCAGGCAAGCAAACATCCTCATTGAGCTGTGTGAAAGGCTCAGCTGTTATTCGAGCTCCCATTCCACTCCTCTTGGACTGGATGACGAGCGACGACAAAGTCAAGCAGTGGGACGAGTTCTTTTCTGAAGGTGTGTGTGCACGATGAAACACTATGCTGGCATTGTTTGTATGTGGTGAAGTGCTGAGACCAGCATTCAGAGAATATGTGGGTAGCAGAGCAAGATAATGAAGATACCGTAAAGTTCTGTGTATATGCCCACTCGAAATAACGCCCATCAAATGGACATCGCACTCAAAGCCCGTGAGTTCGCCCATGCCCGAAAACCGCCCAGGGTGATGCTGTACCTGTGTATGCGTGTGTGTGCAAAATGTTATGCATGCTTATGAAAATGCAAGCGATGCAATATGCACCTTGTATAGGCCCAGTCCTGAAACAACACCCATGCCCAAGTATACGTCCAGTTTTCAGACCCTTGTTCTGTATACGCCCGGGGGGGGGGGGGGGGGCTTGTTCACGGAACTTTACGGTATACTAGTACTCTGAAGTGTATTGGTGTTCTGTGACTGTAGTGGCGTGTCACTGCTGAACCATAAGTCTTATTTCAGGCGGGTCCTTGACCCCGCATTCTTATATCGAGGGGGGGGGGGGGGTAGGACTGACTTGGGTGACCCAGCTCTACAAAGCTATCTAGCTAAATGCTGATGGATTTGATCTTCTCCACAATACCGATGCTTGTACCTCTGTTCATTTTGTAGCAGGTTCCCTTCTTCTGGCTCATTCAGCAGAATATGCTTCCCTCTTTTTTTCGCCTCTCCGTAACAGCTCGACTTTGAGCCTGTGTGCATCTGTCTGATTCTGTGTGTGCCTTTGTTTTGCTTTTGTGTTTTTCTTTTTCTTTTCGTGTGCCCACTGATGTCTACTTTCTCCCCTCAGGTAAACTTGTGGAGGACATTGGCGGTGTGGCTAAGGTTAGTGTGGCTCGGGCAGAGGGCATGATGGCACTTGGTGTACAGTCGTGATTTCTGCCTACTGGCTGGAACCTTTCGATTGCTTTTCCTCGACAACAGCCTTCCTGTCTTTTGGATGCGGGTGTCCTTTCTAAGGGTGATGTGGCGGTGTGTGTATTATCTATTGCAACCTTTTTTTGTTTGTTTCATTGATGGTGTGTATTTCTACTCAACTTTAGGTTGAGAATCTCATCTACAAAGGTGTGTGGCCAACAACACCACGGGATTTCTGTGTGGTATCAGGAGTGAAGACACTTGACAATGGCGTTGTCCTTGCTTGCAGCAAGTCAGTAAGTTCAGATGTACATTTATTCTGCTATTTTTGTTTTAACGAATAGCAGCTGTCCGTGCACTTGACAGCTTATCATGCAACAGTTGATCTGCACGATTGTCAGCAACTTGGCAGGCAACATCAACGCAGATCCCTCCCTGAAGAGCACTGGGAGCAAATGCTTTTGCATTTTGGTGTTGTGTAGCAGATGTAATCTCTACTCGTAGACAGTAGTATTCCCCCCTACATTTGTAGGTTGGTTTTGATTAGAATGTTCACATGCCTGTGTGATGTCCACCAACCAAATACTCTTCAGTTGGTCGAGTAGCGCTTGTGTTCTCCCACTCTCTTCAGCTAAAACTATTTCATGTTTTTGCTATGCTCAGGTGACGCATCCACGATGCGTGCCAACGTCCTCTCATGTCAGGTAAGTGCCACAATGTAATGCATGAGTAAGTCCTTGCTTTTATCAAAACTGAAAAAATCCAGGGAGACAAGAAAGATATGACCGCAACGAGTAAGGCGAGTTGCACATTAAACACCATTGGCTAATGTTTAGTATCCTTTTAAGGATACAAAACGTTTCCATTGCCATCTCATTAGAAGGATTGTACTGGCAAAGCCAAATGAATTAACAAAACCTCTTTGCTAACTACCTACAGAATCGTTTTCTCTGTGCCTAGCGTGTGTTGGTTTGTTTGGGCTGGCTAGCGAGTGTGATGTGCCGGTGGTTGTAGTAATATTGGTGATGGTTGTTATGGTTGCCTTCGCTGTTGCTGCTTCCGCTGC